TTGATCCCCAGTGGGGGGCATGCAAAAAGCAGCCAATCAATGATTCTCTCTCATCATTGATGTTTCTATCTTTCCCTCCCTCACCCTTCCTGTCTGAAATCAATAAAAATATATTTTAAAAAAAAAAGGAAATAGGGGTTTGGCCCTGGCCAGTCACTCAGTGGTTAGAGCATCAGCTCATGGATCTAAGGGTCGACGGTTCAGTTCCTGGTCAAGGGCACATACCTCAGTTCCAAGTTCAATCCCCAACCCTGGTTGGAGCGCATGCAGGAGGCAATCAATCAATGTCTCTCTCTCACATTGATGTTTCTCTCTCTTTCTCTCTCCCTTCCTCTCTTTCTACAGTCAATGAAAACATATCCTCGAATGAGGTTTGGGGGAAAAAATGATGAGAGTCAGGTTTCTCACTGTCATAAGAGGGACAAATAATAGAAAGGAATAAATGTAAGGTGAGCCCTATAGGGTTGTATTGGAGTTAAAGGCATGAGTATGAACCTATGGATTTCAACATATATTCATAGTTACAGACATAAATATAGATGTAAATGTGTATGTACACATACATATGCACACATACACATATTTGCCTCTATATTTGCATATATGTGTTTATACATATATTTGTATATGTGTGTACATATATAGACATCTATATGTAAATATGCATATTTTATATATGTATACATATCCATAAAGATATATCTGCACACACATTTACATCTATATGTGTGTGTGTGTGTGTATGTGGATCCCTGTTCTATTCACTGAGGAGCCTCGGAGCACGGAAATGCCAATAGTAATAAGCATAACTAATGCCTAGATCTTGGCTGCTAAAATCATTGCTTACTCCAAAGATACCAGGCCTCCTTGGAGAAACGGTGGGTTCCAGCTCTGGGACAGGGAAAACATGAGCTGCGTCTGGAATGTCTAGTTCTGCCAGAAAGCAAGGAAGTGCTGAAAGAATGATGGGGACTTGTTAGAAGAACTCAAGAACTAGTTTGAACAGTCTCCCACGGATGGGACAATTTATGCATAAAAGTAAAATAATGATAGTAACACATGTCTACCCCATTGGCCAAATCAGGAAACCATTTAAGTATAAATGAATAAATTGAAATTTTGATGAAAAAACAGAAGAGTTACAAAATTTCAAAGTACCTCTGTATAAAGAGGAAAGAGTATTTTACAGTGGAGAACTCGACAAACAGCACCTCAGTTAAGTGACCAAAATCAACATTAAAAGAATGTAGCATCACTTGTTATTTTTGCCAAAAATCAATCACCTGTTGTTGTTTTTTAATTATGAAGAAGCATCAAACTGACTCAAATCAAGGAACATTCTAGAAAAGAATGGTTTGTAATCTTCAAAAGAGCCAAGGCCTTGAAAGTATAGACAGAGGAATTGTCCACAGTGAAGGACACGATATAGATGTGAAAACTAAATGCAGGGGGAGATTCTGCTATAAATGGAATATTTTGCTATAAAATATATTATAGGAGCATCTGGAAAAACTTGAATGCAACTTGAGGATCATATGGTAGCAATGTATCAATGTGAACTTTCCAATGTTGATGGATTATGGTTATGGAGGGATGTATGCTTGCTTATAGGAAATAGATACTATTATTCACAGGTGATAGGGCATTAGGTCAGAAACTTCCTCAGAAAAAGAACAGTGTTTGTCTGTACTTCCAACTTTTTTATAAGCGTGTGGTTGTTTCAAAAAGATTTAATAAGCCAGTCAGAGAAGAATAAGTGTCACATGCTCTCACTCATTTGTGGAATATAATGAACAACAAAAGCTGATGAACAAAAATAAATCCAGAGACATAGAAACATATAACAGACCGTCAAACCTCAGAGGAGGGGGGAGGATAAGAGATCAACCAAAGGACTGTATGCCATGCATATAAGCATAACCAATGGACACAGACAGTAGGGGAATGAGGGCCTGTGCTGGGGGGAGGGGGGCAGGAGTGGGCGTGGAGCAGGCACTGAGGTTGGCTGGCCGGCCGCACCCCCTGATCGGGCCGGTTCACTGGCCACAGTGAGCATGATGTGCTGGGGGGGGGGAGGGGGCAGGGAGAGGACAATGGGGTAAAAAAGGAGACCTATGTAATACATTCAATAATAAAGAATTTAAATTTAAAAAAGAAAGAAATAGAAAGGAAAGAAGGAAGAAAAAAGAAAGAAAATGAAAAGAGTGGCTATTCTAAACAACAGAACTATCTTCAAGAAGAAGGGGAAAGGACTTAAATAGACACTTTTCAAAAGGGGACATACAGAAGGCCAAGAGACATATGAAAACATGCTCAAAGTAACTAATCACCCAAGAGATACAAATCAAAACGACAATGAGGTATTATCTCACACCTGTCAGAATGGCTATCATCAACAAATCAACAAACAACAAGTGCTGGTGAGGATGTGGAGAAAAAGAAACCCTCATGCACTGCTGGTGGGAATGCAGACTGGTGCAGCCACTGTGGAGAGCAGTATGAAGTTTCCTCAAAAATTTAAAAATGGAACTTCCACTTGACCCAATAATCCCACTTATAGGAATATATCCCAAGAAATCAGAAACACCAATCAGGAAGGATATATGCACCCCTATGTTCATAGCAGCACAATTTACCGTAGCTAAGATCTGGAAACAGCCTAAGTGCCCATCAGCAGATGAGTGGATTAAAAGACAGTGGTACATCTACACTATGGGATACTCCGCTGCTGTAAAAAGGAAGGAACTCTTACCATTTTCAACAGCATGGGTGGACATGGAGAGCATTATGCTAAGCGTTAAATAAGCCAGTTGGAGAACGATAAATATCACATGATCTCACTTATTTGTGGAATATAATGAACAACATAAATTGATAATCAAAAATAGATCCAGAGACAAAAAATCATTGAACAGACCATCAAACTTCAGTGGGAAGGTAGGAGAGGGTGTGTGCATGTGTGTGTGTGTGTGTGTGTGTGTGTGTGTGTGTGTGTGTGTGTGTGTGGGGGGGGGGGGAGAGAGAGAGAGAATGTGTGTGTGTGTGTGATTTCAGGTAAATCAGTTTTGAAGAGTATTACTTTTATTCTGCCATGTAACAGAATATTCTACTTTAAAAAAGCACCTTAAAATGTTAATGACTGTTCATCAATACTTTAAACAATAAAGAATCAAAAAATAAATAAATATATAAATAACACCCAAAAAAAGGGAAGAATAGGGGAAATGTGCTAAGGTAAATCATTTCCCTCCCCTAAGAAAACACTGAGAGGTCAGTTGCTGAATATCAAACATTTATTATTTAGTTTCCTACTACTGCTAAAATCCATTTCATAAGCAGCTCCTCTTCAAACCAGCTTTTATTTCACAGAAATTGTATCCTTCAGCAATTCACTTTGAAATGTGCCATCCTGAGGATGGGGATGCTTCAGGGCACGGCTTGGGCAACCACGCCACATGAAGGGCCTCCCCACCCTGATCCCCCACACAGAAAGCTGCCAATACCTTAGGAAACATCTCTGCAAAGCCAGCCAGGTTGTTCAAGTCCGCTGAAAACAAAGAGCATCTTACTTGATTCAAATTACAAATTCAGTATTGTACTGTACACATCCAGCATTACACATGCTTAAAATAATATAAGCATGCTTAATGATATATCAGATCTCACTTTTTTAAAAAAAAATAAACTATAAGCAGGCAACTACACATTTTAAAATGACCATAACCCCATTTTCACCTACAGTTAAAACTATTGTTGAACACACATTGGCTGGTTTAAAAATCTTTGGCGTGCACACAGGAAGTAGAGAAAATACCCAGGCTAAGAATAACCACGTTACACAACCAAATCTGTCTTGAAGGGCCAGGCCAGCTTCCAAGTGGCATGGTTTCTAGGCGAGGCCATCATGCTGATGCTTCTTCAGAAATCCTGGAGGGACAAATGCAGGCTTGCCCACTGTGGTCCCAGGGTGGCGTCAGCCTCTGAGGGCCACAGCGCCTGGTTGGCCCTCGCTCAGGGGAGTCTCTCAACCCGTGGAATTCCATCCAGGTCTGATGGCTGCTCCAGGCTGATGGGGCTCATCTCAGCCAGTGGAGAGCAGAGGCAGCAGGGCCGGAGTTTGGCAGTGACCTCCGGAGACCACAGCTTTGATGCTGAGTCGATCATTGTCTCTACCCCAGGACCTTGATTACAAAAATAGCCCAGCTTGTAATTTAATAGCACCTTGACAACATAGGTAATGGTAGAAAACAGGATCATAAAATGAAGTCGCTTTCCATTCTGGCCAATGTTTCCTACCACTAATACCAAGTCAAGAAAATACACCATGTTAACTGAATCTAGGGGAAAAAAGATGTCTATTCTTGTAGGAAGAATATAAGTAAACCATATTCATCAGAGTGTGTGTGTGTGTGTGTGTGTGTGTGTGTGTGTGTGTGTGTGTGTATTATACTCATATATTTATATATATTATATATATAAATTTATGGAGCAGTAGAGGAAAAAACATAGACATAGCTCCCTCCTCAGAGCATGTCAAATAGTCATGTAGAAATATTTTTAAAAGGAAAACTGAGAGCAGAAGGTATCTAAACTCTTGGTGGAGTGGCAGACGGGAGTTCAGAAGTTGGAAAAGAGTACTGTGCACTAATACATCAGTACATTATAGTCACACGTTGACACCTCAGAAATAAAATAGCTACAGTTTTGAAGCAACTCCTCTACTGTCTGATTTAAAAAGGGAAGCTCATCCTACAAGAAGAAGAGGTAGTCTGTTAGTGAACTGTGGACCGATGCTGACCCTCAGAGGCCCGTTTGCTTTGTGGATTCAGTGCCCTTGGCGTATTTTAACAATGTTTGTAGATGTGTTTGTTTTACTGGCTAGAAGCAGATGTGAAAGTGATTCCATCCCAGCCAGGTCTGTTTGTTGGTACACGTGACCCCGGCTTTCTATAAAGTTGCAAGAGGGTGTTTGTTCCCATAGAACTCAGCAGCTCTGAGGCAGTCTGTTAATATCCCTGTTGACTGATATAGTTACTGGTCCAGGTTGAACAAAACATCAGTAGAAGATGTATGTAGTCGAATCAAGCCAGACTCTCCGGGGTCCAGGAAATGAGGAAATCTTGCACTTCAAGTAGCAGGGAGATAGCCAACATGGTTCATGCCTGGGTGCCAGAGAGTCCCAAGTTATGAGCAACATCTGTAACAACAATGCAGCATAAATTCTTTTAAAGCTCTCCATGTGCCAATTTCCTTCCTCAAGTTTCCCCCTTTTCTGTCTCATAAACACGTGCACACGCACACATGCACACATGCATGCACACGCACACGCACACAGACCCACACCATCCAAACTTTTCTTTATCAGTCAAGACCCAGCACCAGGTCCACATACAGTTTTGCTCAGCCCACTCTCCACTCCTATATAACAGATATTATCTGAAATGTACACTTCTCAATTACTTTTGACATTAACACGTAACTCCACCATCCATGTAAACATATCACCTCTCCCAATGACATTACAAACTGAACACAAGGACTGTCTTGGGTCTTCCCGCCCTCTGCCCAGCACACATTACTCAGCACAGTGCTAGTCACATAATAATCTTTCTTTTTTTTTTATTTTGTTTTATTGCTTAAAGTATTACAAAGAATATTACATATGTCTCCTTTTTTTCTCCCCTTGACCTTCCCCTGGCCCCCCCTACACCCCAGTGTCTTGTGTCCATTGGTTATGCTTATATGCATGCATACAAGTCCTTCGGTTGATCTCTTCCCCCCCTCCCTCCTGCCCACCAACCCTCCCTGGCCTTCCCACTGTAGTTTGACAGTCTGTTCGATGTTGCTCTGCGTCTGTATCTATTTTTGTTCATCAGTTTATAATGGTCTTAATTATCCATAAATGAGTGAGATCATCACATAATAATCTTTCAATAAATATTTGCCAGAGGTGCTAGGTCAGGCTCTGCTTGGAATTGGATATGTGTAATCCTTTCGGGATATAGAGAAGGAAGGTCTTGCTTCCCCTCAAGAAACTTACTCTCTGGCCATTTGCATAGTTATTTGTTTAAACCCAATTGGCAGAGATGTACTAGGCTTGGTAGGTGGAAAAGGAAATCACCTGCCGGGAGCCGGCCCATCCTTGCTGTTTCAAGGGACCTGGCATATACGGCATACTGTTTTTAATATGTTTGCTCACCTTCTTGGCGCTATGTGTTTTAACCAAGGTCACCTCTCCGAGAAAGGTTGTTTCCCCAGGTAGAGATTTTCAACTGAAGTTAGGGAGGGAATAAAACCCCTTCACTAAGTGCCCTGGCTACAGAACTTGGTTGGCAGAACCTAGACAGAACCTGGCTGCAGAAGCCGGCTACAGAACCTGGCGACTGAACCTGGCCGGAGAACCTAGCGAGAGAACATGGCTACAGAACCTGGCTGGAGAACCTGGATAATGTGGCTGGAGAACCTAGCAAGAGAACATGGACACAGAACTTGGCTGGAGATTGTGGCTAGAGATCCTGGCAAGGCTGCTGATCAACTGAACGCTGTCTTCGTGACATTCCTTCTTCACCGACTCCGTCTACACCTTTGGGGACCCCTGGACCTGCTGGGGTTGGACCCCGGCAATCACCCACCTCTGATTTCAGCCTCAAGGGGTGGACACCTCTGTGCATACTGATGGTTCTAGCTCAATAGTCCATGGTGTATTTTCTGCTTTTCTGCCTCAGGGCTTTCTCTAAAGACTTCTGAGCCCCTCATCCCAAACACAGGGCAAGCTTAGGGACGGGGGAGATTAAGGTGCTCTGTAGGCAACCCTAAAGCAGTGGGGGTGGGAGACAGTGGATAAAGCCCCACTTATGGGAGACATCTGTACACTCCTCAGAGATCCTGTGGCCTCTAGCTGAGATCTCAGTAATGCAACCTCCATTTGCGTTTCCTCCTTACCTGTCTCACTCTCCCTGTTCTCTCACCCCCTCTTCTTGGAGTCACTTTCCACCTAAATTACTTGCCCACTAGTCTCTGTCTCAGGGTCTGTTTTAAGGATTCCATACTAAAGCAGACACATTATTAAGAGCACAGAGAATGATTTTTTTAAAAAATATCAAAGTTATATGAAACTCAAGCTCTTTGCTAGTGTCAAAGCTATGGTATCAATCTCTGGGGAACAAAGATGTCACTGAACACCTGAGCATCAATAATTTCTTGCATCTGAAAAGTGAGATGGACTAAAAGAGCATTTAGCTCCCTCCCTATACTTTAATTCTGTGGCAGATGTTTCGTGTGTTTCTTTAATATAAGTTCTGCACCACTGAGTTGTGGCAAAAATGCAATGGCTTCTATCTCATCGTATACCTCATATCATTGCAACCTCTAAAGCATAAAATTTACACTTTTTCTACAGTAGATGCTTCAACTTTTCTGAATGCTCCTCAACTTAATGACACTCAAGTTAACAACGCTTAATCTGAATGGAAAAGGTCAAATTCCCACCTAACTGGCCTTCTGTGATATACACAAGTTCTTTAAACTTGCACATTTTAAGAATATCTTCACCAATTCCTCCTTCCTCCCCTTGCTAACACCAACCCAGATCTCGCTTCCAAATCTCAGTCTAAAATCTCCATGTATCTATATATCTCCCACGGTGATTTTTGCACTTAATTGATATTCAGGAAATCTCATTGTATGACTTAATGAACTTTTTTTTTTAACAAGGGAGACTTTGAATCATCTCAATTTTTAAAATATCAATTGGAAAATTTCTTTGGTACAATAGTGATTTATGAACTTGTTTAATTTTAATAGTAGTTTATAACCTTGTTTGTTTTCAATTCACTGGAGAAAAACATAAAATCGGGTAAAATAAAAATTCAGTTTTTCACAAAAAATATGAAAAGTCAGGCTTAGAGGCATTATTCCTGCCTCTAAAATCATAAATTAAGCCCGGTGTGGCTCAGTGGCTGTGCATCGACCTATGAACCAGGAGGTCAGGGGTCAATTCCCAGTCAGGGCACAAGCCCAACAGGGGGTGTGCAGGAGGCAGCCCATCAATGATTCTCTCTCGTCATTGATGTTTCTATTTCTTTCTCCCTCTTGCTTCCTCTCTGAAATCAATAAAAATATATTTTTTAAAAATCATAAATGAAAATTCCAGGCTTACTATGAAGACAGCTCTTCCCTTCCCTAAGCCCTGAATATTGCTGTACCTGTGCGCCCCGGCTTCTTCGCCGTGTTCACCGCTGCCATGAACATGTACTCACTGTTCGCATCATGCACACTAGATCGATGCTTCTGAAAGAGAAAGTCAGAAAACAGGTTGGTCATCTGCTCTCCCCCATCTCCATCCCTGTTATTTGTTAGTTTGTTTTGGTTTATTTGTTCACTGTTTTCTATTCTTTGTCAGAGTGGTATGTGAGAAATGTTATAATGGGACTTAGGGTCCTGGCTTTTGACTAAGTAGGAGCACAACATGAAAAGGGCTTTAAATAAGAAAAGCTGACTTCCTCATTTTGGCCTTTATTTTTCTTTCCTCCATAGAATTAGATCATGGGCTCTATCTCATTCTCTTCCTTTTTATCTCTCTTTTCATATTCCATTTGGCACAAATATACTCACCGTCTGGTCAATGATCACACTGTGGATACACTTGGGTATTAGCAGACTTGCATCATGCAGGGAGGTATAAGTTCTTTGAGAACGTGTATTGCAAAAGGCTACAAAGGATATTTTCAGCACAGATTCTTGTTGTTGTCATTATTGTTGTTGTTTTATCATTCTGCATGGCTTTGCAGTGGTTTTTCTTTTAAAATAAGGAGCCCTAATAATTTACCATGGAAACAAACTAGCCATTTACTTCTCAGCTACTACTGGTACCTTATAAGATTTTCTCACTGATTATTTCACTTTTTTAATTTTGTTTTATTGCTTAAAGTATTACAAAGAGTATACTTTTTTTGATTATTTCTTAATTAACCAATGGGGTGAAACAGAGCAGTTTCATCTTTGTCCCAACTCTTAGGTAGCTTAGAATAAAATGTGCAGCCCACATTAAATAATTTTTAAAAGCAAGAAGCATCTATTTTTATGTTTTTACCTTCCTCCTGACTTTTTGTCTTTTATGGGCCTCAATTATCTCATTCTTGTTGAATAATAACAACATATCTCTTTGTAAGCCATCGAATAAGTTTTGAACTGAAGCAGTTATAAAATAAGCTTCTGTTCCAAGTTAGTAGTTTAGTTAGTAGGTATATCTTGAGAGAGAAAAAGTAGTCTACCTGTAGATTCATTTACTCTCATAAGAATAATATGTACTTCTATGAGTAAATGACCACTGATATTCCTCAGTAAAATTGATGCAAGAAAAGATAGACATTGCTCACCTTATTTTTAAACCAACATAAAAATGTGCATCCAAAAATGTAGATGACAACAGAAGCTGCACATCCTATGGGTAACCAGAACTTCAGCTGGCAACAAAGCTGCGATTCTGGGTTAGAAAAAAGAAATGTTAAGAACAAATTCTAAAAATCAAATCCCCTCTTTCACTGCTGAATCCCAAGGTGATGTTTTGTGTGTTTTTTAACAAATGTAAAGGAACGATTTAATCAATTGAGCTTGTCTTTATTGCAACCATGAAACCCAGTAAATAGTAAACAACATCATTTTAGTATTATAGCAAGGATCAAAAACTAAAACCTAAAAGACTGTACACACAAATATGTTTACAAATGTGATTAATAAAAAGGACTTTTCTGTCTATATTTTTGCAAAAGAGTAAATAGAAAAAGTAATGACATAAAACTGTTCTTTTCAGTCATTTCACTGCGTTCTGCAAATTCAGCAAAAACCACAACCTTAAGCCTTATGTGAATAGAAGTAATAGTCATTAAGCCATGGGTTTGGATATTTGTCTTCATTTTCATGATTTTTGATGGCATATGTGTCGTAATTATTTTTTATATTTTTATTGATTTCAGAGAGGAAGGGAGAGGGAGAGGTAGAAACAACAATGATGAGAAAGAGTCATTGATTGGCTGCCTCCTGCATGCCCCACACTGGGGATTGAGTCTGTAACCCAGGCATTTGCCCTGACTGGGAATCGAACTGTGACCTCCTTGTTCATAGGTCAAACCACTGGGCCATGCCAGCCGGGCAATGGCATATTTGTTTTAGAGACAACATGATCTATTTCTAAGTCAGCAATCTACATTATCAAATTGCATATTACTGATTAATATCTATTATTAATAAATCATCTCTTACATATTTTCATCATAAGTAATTGTTACCAATTGCATCTAAATGAACTCCAACACAAAATATACTTATTTGTTTGTTTTCATTAGCAAGAAAAGTCAAAATTCATATGTACACTTACATCCAGAAGATGAAAACAATGTCTTACCATAAATATGCAAATATTCGCTCTTCAACTTCACTTGAAAAGGAGGAGGATCAAAAATTGATAGTCTGCAGGAGTAATAGCTGTCATGAGAACTGTCCAAGTTATTCAGAAAATAAGAGACACTGTTATTGGATGATTGACAGAATTTCAGACTCTGATTGGATATGGTGTTTCCACTTCCCTTTGTCTTACTGAAATCACAGATTATTTGCGTCCCTTTCAGCAACTCCATTCTAAATTGCTGGACGTTCTCAGGGCATTTGCATAACATTTGTACACCTCCATGGTGAAATGTAAATATTTTAGACTTGGCAAAATCATCAATTTCCTCTGGATAAAAAGAAAAAAAAAGCAAAAGCAACATTTTAGGAATAGGTTGCCCTAATAATTATATTTGAATACAAAAGTAATCTCTTCATAAAGTCACATCTATTGCATAAAAATGAAAAAACTTCACAACAAAAAAAGAACTTAATAGTTAAAATGTGCCCTAGAAGAAGCCTAACTGGAAGCTTGTCATATCCTATCTAATAAAAGAGAAACATGGTAATTGGTGTACGACCGCTACCTTTCCCATTGGCTAATCAGGGCGATGTGCAAATTAACTGCCAGCCAAGATGGCCGCCAGCAGCCAGGCAGCTTGAAACTAACATGAGGTTTGCTTGCTTCAGTGATGGAGGAAACCAACATTCCCCGCCTGCCTTGCAGGCCTCTGAGCCTGCAGTTTAAGAAACATTGTAACAAAT